CCAGTTTCATTCTGGAGCCAAGACCTCTGTAGTATATTCCACCATAGTTTCACATATGGCTAACCAGCAACCCCAACTGTACAGTGTGGGGAGGAGGTGGGGGGGTGACAGAGCTGCTTGATTTTCATGAGAGAGCCAAAGTGTGATTGTGGCCATTTGCCTTGCAGAAGAGTCTAAGAAAATCAGCACAAGTTACGCCACTTGCCAGTAAGGATTTCCAGCTTTAACCAGTACACATGCTCCAGGCTGGCAGACAGGAGCTGAAAAGGACACAGCTTTGTACCCAGCCACCAGCTGAATTTGGTGGCAGGCTATTAAAAAAAAAAAAAAAAAAGGCACGAATTATACATGGAAGGATGTGGGGGAGGGGGGAGAGGAAAATGCAATGAGCTAATGTTCCTACTTGGCATCTGCCTTTTGACTCAAAGAAAGGGATGGCTCTTTTCCAGAATGTTTCTATTATTGTGGTATCAGCTGCCTGTTGGACTCGCTTATAAAAGTGGAGACTGCCAACAGAACAAGACAAGATTTCTGTTGATAGTAGTAAATGTGCATGTTCCTTGAAATAATAGGGATTTCAGGATTTCTCCTACAAAGGCTCTTTGGTATTACTATTCCCGGCATGAGCTTCTGGACCTGTACGGCCAGGTGCTAGTGGGGATCATGACAACAGCAAATTCTGAACTTAAAAAGGTGCTACCTTGATTCTTTAATTTACTCCTCCAATATATTTAACTAAAGAACAGTTTGAAACTAATTGGTGCTGGAAGTTTCTTGCCGGACTGACATTCTACCAAATGAATTTCTATTAGTTGGCCCTTGCAAGTCTCAGTGTTACTCTATTACACTAACTTCTTACTCTGAAAACTAGAAACCAAAGAGAAAAAATTAAGCATTTATCCAGGCTTTTAAAAAAAGGACTATAGATTCTACCTACTTCATGAGGGATCTTCTTTACTTAAAGACCTTTACTTAAAACAAAAAAAAAGGTAGTAAACAAATGTAATAAGAATGATAGATTCAAACCCCGATGAAGAATAAGGAATGTTTCCAGCTTCCCTTTGGGGTGTAGAAAGCTAGGAAGAGCATCACTCCTATCTTATAATAAACATAAATGTGAGACAATCTGCAAATTAGTGACTTTTTCTCAACCCATCAGAGAGCTGAAGCAGTCAGACAACTAACTAAACAGAGGTCTAAAAAGGTACGGGAGCACTTGCTCACCTAGGTCACACTCCACTGAACACTAATAAAAAGAAGAAAAAATATGTAACAATCTCAACCTATAGAGTTTTTTTTAAAAATTACTATTACAATAGCACACCTCCCCCTCCAAAAAACATACTTAGGTATAAATCTAAGATAATACATGGAGGAGCTGTACGTTCAAAACATTTAGTGGTATGAAAATCTGATTACAAGATAACATTGAATGAAAGCAAGTAAGGTACAAAATAGTATGTATATATGGTCAGAATTTTATAAAATAAAACTCAAACCAAGTATTTTTTCCATAGGGAAAAAAAGGCTAAAAAATATTAAGGTCTTTAAAACAATGTCTCTTTGGTTTCTTGTTCTTAATAAGGCAATCACAAAGTGTTTTAAAGAAAATAAAACTGAAATTAATATAAACAATTTGTAAAGCTAATTCCTTTGCTGCCACCTGTTACTATATAATGCACTTCACGATGTCTCCTTAAGTCAGTTTTCTTGGAACTAGTTCCATATGCTCTTAGAAAACATTAATTTAATAAACTGGTTTCCTAATTGCAGAACTAATTAGAATCGTTAGTATACCAGTGATATTCTGGATCTTTAACGGGGTATAGTTTGCTCTATGTTCACAGTTTTGCGGCGTTTTCCACATTTATTTGAATACAGTACTTGTGCGTGGGCTCGTGAGAGAGACAGGGCAAGGTTGCCTTGGCTGACCTTCCAAAGGAGGCTGCAGACATCGCATTATTTTGCTCCTAAATACTTCAGTGTGTATCTCCCAAGAATAAGGGACATTCCGCTACTTATCCGCAACACCACTATCACATCCAAGAAAGTCCGATTACTTCCATAACAACTTCTAATATCTACCCAAATACAAAATTCCTGTTTTACAAAAAACTGACTTGATAGTCAGTTTTTCAAGGTTTTCATGTTATGTTGGGTTATGTCCTTTTAATAAAAATCACACCCTGTTTTTTTCTTTTTGACATGGATTTTCTTTTTCCCCTCCAGGAGACCAGTCTCATTGAATTGCAGAAATCCCATGGTTTGTCTGATTATTTCTCCATGGTGTTACTCAGCTTGTTCCTCTATCCCATGTGTTTCCAGTATGTTGACGCTTACACTGGAAGACTCAGAGTCAGGTTAAACACAGCAAGAACATGATGCTGTGTTCCTCAGACTGCATCATATCAGGAGACATGCAACAGGCCACCTCACTGATAATACCGCTGAGCTTGATCACGGCATTTAGGTGGTGACTGCCAAATCTCTCCCTTGCAAAGGGACATCTTTCCCTTTGTTATTAGCACTTCCACCATGAGGTGATCCATTATCACTGTCCTGTCTCTCGATAACCTTCTAAGTGATGGTTTTTGTAGTCCTTGATGGTCTTTGCAGGACTACCAGTTATTTCATTAGGTTCCTTATTAATTTTTATTTACCTCTTTAAAATTTCTTGATAGGAAAATTCGGGTCTTTGTGATATACAAGTAGGTGAGTTCTGACAAACACAAGAGTGTCGTATCCACCACAATAATCAAGATACAGAATAGTTACATCACCTCAAAAAATTCCCTCCCACTGTCCCTTTGGGGTCCTAAATTAAGTTTGGTACAAAGTCCATGCTCAGTAGATTTACTCCAACCTTACTCGTCCCATAATATTTCCTGTCTCGCCTAGTAGTGATTAAACTGCTATGTGCATAGGAATAAAACCATGAAAATGTATTTTAGTACAGGCTCTGGGGTGCTACCCCCCAAATTTAGGAAGGCTAAGGCAGGCTGCTTGTGATCGTGATACTATTAAACCACTGAGTATATGTGATACAATGACTACGAGCATGGCCCTAATTCTCTACTTTTCTTTCTATCCATACTCTTTGCAGCTCCTGCCATGAAGAGGCGGAGTGTGTTTCTGAATCCCATGGGTCTTGGCGGTCACTTGTTTCAGCAACAAAATACAGTGGCATTGGCGGGGCAGCAGCATAAGCCTTGCTTGTTTCTACTCTCCTGGAACCCCTGGCCGGAGGCCTGGCAGATGAGCCTGGGCCAGCCTGCTGGACGAGGTGAGGTGTGCGGCCTCACCTCCACCATCACCTCCAGTGACAGTCAGTGAGGCAAGTCAATGGGGTCATCCTGGAGCAGCCAGCTCCACGCGACCCCCTGCAGACCCCTTAGCACACAGGCCAGGCCAAGATCCTGTAAGCTTGGCCAGCGGACCCATATGCTCAAGAGGAAGAAGAAATGTTTATTGGTTCCAGCCATGTCAGGGTGATTCGTTACATAGTAAGAGATGACTTACACACCACAATTCTGATACTCTTTACCTAAGGAATACTGACTGACTGATCTCTTTCTCTCCATTCCCCACCCAGCCCCCGCCCCCTTCCTCATTTGGGCTTTTATTCCTTGTTCAGACTGCTGTTGTCATTCTACCTCCAGGACACTGCTGCTCTGGACTGTGTTCTCTAAAGTCAGAGGCCAGGTTGCCATAATGTATGCATTCCTACCATCTAGCATAATGCCCGGTGCCCCCCACAGGTGCTCAGTCCTTGTCTGTGGAATCAGTGTTGCCAGATTCATAAAGCACAGCTCTGGTCACATCACTCCCGACGCAGGACCCTACAGGCACTTACAGCACATACCAGGTCCGTTTTCCACCTGGCTCACGTGATTCTAGGACCTCTGTGATCAGGCCGAAGCCTCGCTCCCCACTCTTCTTCCCCTTCCTCTCTTAGGGCTCCATTCCAAAGTGAGGGCTGGCTGACCACGGCCTTACTTCCCTGTCTGTGTGATACTGACTCTCCCCACATCTCTGTAAACGCGGCACATACTGACTCTCCCCACATCTCTGTAAACGCGGCACATTCTTGAAGGTCCGAGTCTTCTGTGAGAGTCTGGTAGGTCTAGTGAAGGAAGAGCTCACCGCTTCTCCCTGCATCTAGCAATTAGCCTGAGCCTCCCTTAGCTGAGCGCTCTCTCCTGAGCACCTGATACTATGATTACCTGTCCGCTGTAGCATCTAGCAGGCATCTCCTCTACCTGAGATTGTGACCTTTTTGAGGGAGAGTACATCTTCTACCTGTCTGTATTCCCTATGGTACCTAACGCAGACCGCGAAACATTACGAAGACCTTTGTAAATGCTTACTGAATGAATGGATGGTTTTTTGTCACTACTAAAACAAGAATAACAGTGGTAAGTCAACCCCACGCCAAAGATGGCACGATAAATACAGTGGTTTTCATATATCAGTCAATAAAAGAATCTTCTGGAAGGCCTGTTGAAAATACAAATTCCTAGGCTCTGCCCCCGAAGAGATCGGTTCAGTAGGTCTGGAGTAGAACCCTAAGTCTGAATTCATACCAAGCTGTCCATGTGACTTCGGGGAAGGTTTGCGGGCAACACTTTGATATATACAGTGACATACAGCCTGCTTTGTAGATATGAAGTCCAAAGTAAACTCCTTTTTTCATGCACCTAAGATTTTTTTTTTTTTTTAAGTTTCTTAACTTTAATACAAAGGCACTGAGGAGCGCAGTGGGCCTATAAAAAGAACAACTTTAATAATACATACATAGTCTGGCACCTTATTAGCTTAGGTTGCTGGGAATATGGCATCACACCCCATTCTTTGTAATCACAATCTGCACACATTTTTTTTCATCTACATATCCTTTTTATAAACTTTTTTAAGTTTAATTTGCTACAAATAGTCCTTTTTCAGACCATCTCACCATGTGAGGTATGCTTTAAAATACGTGAAGGGCACAAAATTCCTACCTCGGTCCCAGAGGCTGGCTCTTAATGCTCTCTCTAGCTGTTCCTCCTCACTCAGTCCTGCTGTGTATGCATCATAGTTCCTGGATATGTCTTCAGAGTAACCTGGCTGGCCATATGGGTAATATTCCGGATACCTGGAGTAGCCTACAGGCACAGGGAAAATGTCATAAAGCACGGCTGTGTACTGTTCTTTCCATTCTTCCCATTTGTAAGCAAACACAATAAAATGATCTATGCCATCATTCTGAGTACAGTAATAATCAAAGTAAGAAAAGATGACAAATGGAGAATTCCTCCATGACCGTGGGCAATGACAGTCTTATCACTGTTGTACCAACAGTGCCCAGCATGGGACTGGACATGCGTGAGTCCTTATGAGCTGAAGAGGAAGAAGATATTAATTTAGAAGGTCTGAGGGGTACTGGAGAGTGTCTGGTGTGAGCTATTTTCATCTGGAGTGGATTCTTGCAGTTTAGAGCTATACACTACTTGGAGTATTTTCTGTAAAGTCCTGACTAGGGTCAAGGGAGTGGTTGAAATAATAGTTGATCAAGCCTTCCTGTCTGGTGGTTCCATACAATGAAAGGCAGACTAACATTTGATGCAGATACTGCAGGACTTCTGTGCTGGGTGTGATACTTTGGACAGTAATAACTACATTGAGATATACAAAGCGATGTCTCTATAATTATAATTTTATGTCAAAGAACATAGTTTCTATTAATAGCACTTTCAAGAAATTGGTTGCTAGATAAAATGAGAGAAGAAACAACCTGCTCATTAAATAATGCTTTAAGTATCAGACTTACATATCGAATTAATGAAGGTCAATTACAGAGCAGAGTTCACTTTTGCAAGGTGTTTCCATCAATCTTTTTAAGTTGGTTTGAGTTTACTCCTTACATCTTCTTTAATTGCCCACTTTTATGTAATTTGTTTAGAAGAGAATTGTTTCCCCCAAAAGATTACCAATCTAATTCTGGTGTAATGAGAGAGAAGTAAGGGTCTGTTTAGCTTTATTCCTTCTTTTCTTCCATTATCATACCTTTTGGGGATGAGTTTTCAAATATTTAATAAATGTGTTTTGTTGATGAACATTCCTACCCTTTATTTTGAGTCATGTGTCATAGGTCTCCATATCATCAACAGAGTACACACGTGAGTCTCAATTTCTTATTGCTTTAAGACTACAGGAAAAAAACACACACACACACACAATAAGACCAAAAAGAGGAACAGTGTAGGGCAGAATCTGGTTAAGTAAGATTTGATATTCAGAATATTTGATAATTGGTCCTGAGGCTATTTTATTTTTTTAAAGATTATTTATTTATTTATTTATTTGACAGAGAGATGGCATAAGTAGGCAGAGTGGCAGGCAGAGGGAGAGGGAAAAGCAGGCTCTCCACTGAGCAGGGAGCCAGAGGTGGGGCTCAATCCCAGGACTCTGGGATCATGACCTGAGCTGAAGGCAGCCGCTTAACCAACTGAGCCACCCAGGTGCCCGTCCTGAGGCTATTTTAAAGTTTACTTTTGTGCTGGTTATAAATAAAATGCAAGATTGAAAAGGAAACAGTTAAACTCTTTCCCATAAGAATTTTCAGGTACTCCAAAAGTATTTTCATATAAACAATGAAATGATAATAAAACACACTGATCCAGTTTCAGCTGATAATCTAATGTAACTATACACATTTACAGTAAATATCTGTCATGTTATATGTGTCTATTGGTTATGTTTTTATAGCAGCCTTAATGAGACATAATTGACATACTATATAATCCATCAATTTTAAGTGTATAGTTCAATGGCTTTTAGTATATATTCATAGAGTTCTGCCATCACCACAATCAATGTTAGAACATTTTCATCACCCCCCAAAAGAAAACCATACCCGTTAGCTATCACCCCCCATCCCTCCTAGCCGTAAGTAACCACTAATCTATTTTCTGTCTCTATAGTTATGCCTATTCTGGACAATTATATAAATGGAATCATAGAACATGTGGTGTTTTGTGTCTGGCTTATTTCATTTTACATAACATTTTCAAGGTTCGTCCATGTTGTAGCATGATTCAGTACCTCACTCCTTTTTGTGGCCAAATAATATTCCATTGCATGATTATATAGCATCCATCAATTTATAGACATTTGAGTTATTTCCACCTTAGGACTCTTGTGAATAATGCCGCTATAAACCTTCATGGACAAGTTTTTATATGGACATATGTTTTCATTTCTCTTGGGTCCATACCCAAGAGTGGGATTCCTGGGTCATATGGAACGTCTATGTTTAACCATTTGGAACTGCCAAAATGTTTTCCAAAGTTGTACCATTTTACATTTCCACAAAGCTATGTTAATGGGTTCAGATTTCTCCATTTACTATCTGTCTTTGTAATTATAGCTATCCTAGTAGGTGTAAGTGGTATCTCATTATGGTTTGGATGACTAATGATATTGAGCATCTTTTCATGGGTTTATTGGTCATTTGTACATCTTTCTTTGGACAGCAGTCTATTCAGAGCCCTTGCCCATTCTTACTGATTATTACAACACTCTTCTTTCTTGGTAATATTTTACAATGTCCTTGAAAGTCACAAAGTTAGTGATTTAAATAAACATTAAATAAAATTGTTCAGGATTTTGGGGACTCATTCTGACAAGCCTTGCTCCTAAAGTAGTAAAAATTAGTGGGAATTTACTAAATACCTCCAATAACCCAACTTCCATATTCTCTCTACTGTTTCCCATATCAGAATATTAACATCATGATATTTGTAACAGGTGAAGGATATAAGTAAATTTCCCAAATCCTCACACTAGTGTAGGACTGAAGTTGGATCTGGATTCCAATTTAAAAATCAACAACCTTCCTCAAATTGGTCTCTACTCAACAGACCTATGAAAAAAAAAGTTAGCTTCCACTGCTATGTTGGGGAACACCCACCCCCAGCAAGTTTGTATCCTGAGAGTAAAGAAGACTGTGGCACTGTTACAAATATTGCTTTCTAGATTTCCCATCAAAACAGCAACAATGAAAAACCTTTATTATAAGGGCAAATGGTTAAAATACAATCAATATGTCTACTTCACAAAGAACAAAAGAAAGGGGCAACCATTCCAAAACATAATAGAATACTTATGGAAAAGTCGCTGAACACCATGGTATGCTTCAGCAATCCCTGAACAGAGAGACTGCCTAATTCCCTAAGAGTGCCAATCACCACTTTCAAACCCCTGTGGAAAGTTATTCTGTTATAGAAGGGTCTAAGCAGCACTTCTACCTATCTACCCTCAAAAATGTTCAGCTCACTCAAAACCCAAAATAACCCCAAAGCTCTGAATACCTGTCTATACAGATACAAGAAATACTGCATACATCTATAGAGTTTCAACTGCCAGGTAAATTCGCTACAATTTGAGGCAATATTTTCTTGACATAGAAAAACTTTCTTCATGTTATTTCTTATTTAAAAAACAACCCAGCATGGCCTTAATGAAACAAGGTCTACAACTCTAAACATCTGAATATTATAAAATCTAATTTGGTACTTGTCAGACAAAACATGGGGGGGGAGGGAAAGCTTCAGCGTGTTAAGTCAAAAAGACTAGTGTGGTTAAAAGTTCTATATCATCAGTCATAAATCATCAAGAAGATCAAAACTCCTATCAATATCTATTATAATGAGAGAAGGTCTCCTAGGACAAAAAATTTTCTTCAGCTGTTCCTCTGGCCCAATCAGATATTTTTAAATCTTCATAAAAAACAGGGTTGGAAAAACCCAACAATCAAACACTTAGGATAAGTAAGTTTAAATTATATCCTTCAATGAACAGCAGTTTAATATTCTTTTGTAGCTATATACTTTGGCTCCGTAGTAAAAGAAATTCTGGTTATCATTATTCTATTAACTACTCCATCTGTTCCTTATACACATACCAGGATTTCATGGCAAAAGAGATCAAGAAACACCACCAAGATTAGAAAAATTGGTAACAGCTTTTTAAACATTCATGAGGTTCTTTGACCTATAAAGACTCTTCCAGCTAAGCACGGCCATATTAAGAATAAATCATTACTTGTAAGAGATATATATGCTCTTATACAAGTTCCCTAGGTGAACATTAGCATGGCCACCTGGTCTTATGTAGCTCTGCTTTTGAAGAAATCCAGTCACTTCAGAGCAAGGAATATAAATATGGTAATCTTACAGGGGAGAAGAGAGAAAGGCAAAAGAGGCTTTTATTTTTTGCCTTTAATTCTATGGTCTGTGTCTGCTAGGTTTATGCCTCTTCCATATGAAGGAGGAAAAGATGTTTCCCTTTTTCCTTTTTTTTTAATAAATGCAAAAAAAAAAAAAAAGGAAAGAAAAGACAGTAAGGGGAACTGTCCTATTTTGTAAGGATAAATCAGGAGAATGGCCATCTCCTATCCCTGTAATATAGAAAAAGCAGAGGCTAGGAATCAGTGAGTTGCATTTTTGGTCCCTGTTTTATCACTATTTGTATGACGTTAGCCAAATGACTTAACATTTCCAAACTTCAGGTTCCCTGTTGTCACATAAGATGTTAGGACTAGAGAATCTACAATAGTTTAAGGCATGCCTGTGCACAGGTATGTTCTTTTTCTCTTTGTCCAGAGGAACATTTCTGTTACTTTCGGGGATTTAATAAATCAACCAGGCGAAAAGCCCTTTATCCTCTACCAACTTCCAGGTGTTAGGGGCCATGTTCCCTGTGAAGTGGAAAAAATCAAGTCAATAAGAAGTGAGAAATCAGAATGGGAGAGAGAACCAATATGGTCTTCCTGTCCAACTCACCTCTTCCTAGTCACATAGGCCAATAAAGCTCTTATACTTATGTCAGTGTAAGCTTGGTGTCCAGGACCACCAACCAAAAGGAATGGACACTCTTCCAAATGAGTATATTTATCAGCTTAAGTCTATAACTAATCATCACCCTTCTCTTTAGCTGAGCTGCCGTTGTCCAAAACCATTCCTCTCCTGCACCAAGACCACATTTCTAGGGTTTTAATCATTCAAATTGGCAGAGACAAAAGTCTCAGAAGTGAGGCTTTTCTTGGGCATCAACAGTATTCACTTCTGTGGCCCCCAAGTCTAGGTAAACCCCATCATCTAGGCCTCTGTTCTTGATATCATTAAAATCACCTGGGAAGCTTTGGGGAAAAAAAGTCCAAGTTCCTGTCTCTATCCTCATTCTCATTTAATTGGTTTGGGATGAATTCCAAGGCATGGATATATTTAAAAAAAAAAAATCCTCAGGTGATTCATATATATAGCCAGGATTGATAATCATGATCCAAGCCTTTATAACTACATCAAAAACAGAGCTTGAATGTAACTCCAATAGTATTACTCCACTGATTAAATCCTTCAGTAGCACTCCAGCACATTCTGGATAATCTCAAATAGGCCTTTTAATAAAAGCCTGAAAAGCCCTTTCCTCCCCATTGCTTTCCTTAACTTCTACTTATTCATTCAAGACCCTGCCCTCCACTTCCTCTGAATAACCTGTACTAACTGCAACCCTACTCCTCCCTCTCAGGCTGAGCACTGCTAATACTGCAGAACTAGACTTCTACCTCTGCCAGAAGGAGTAACTGGAACTGAACTAGCCCTTCCACCATAATCAGCTAGAAAATTGGAGAACATATATGAAACAAATATTTTCAGACATTGTCTAACAGGCAATACAAGATTTTGAATGTTGAAGAGAAAGGCAAAGGAGCATGGAGGTACTTTCTAGACTGTGGTATAGGGACAGGGGACACAGCAGATGCAACAGACTGGTAGAGCAGAGCTGAAATTTGCAGGGCAGAGAATAGCAAAGGAGAAAACTAAGTGTACAGAAAGGCCTTCAGAAATCGGCAGTGGTTGCCTGGAGATGTTGCTGAATTATTAAGCCACACATGTGTGAGTGAAATGCCACGGGACCAGACAAAGAATGACAAAGAGCTATGAGCTGAACAATTCTAGGAGCTTGGGTGGGGCTGGGAGACCTTCGCTTTTCAACCAACCAGAACCGAGAGCCCATTTAGGAGTGATTCCAGAAAAGTGACACCTCTATAGCAGCACAGAATTAACCCTAGAATAAAAGTTACTTTAGACCCACCTTAAGGGACTTAAAAACAAGCGCTAGAGGGATCAAACGGTTCTCCAATGGAATGACTATAAAAGACACACAGACTTCCATAGCCTAAGGCTTCTCTAACACCTGTCTGCTGGAACTGGCCCCGGGAACTGCAGGGCAGCCTCCCCAGCATGGAATGTAAGGGCCTTTGTCTAAAACAGGGCAGATGCTTGAACAGGAAGTCCCTTCTGCATATTTGCAAAGACATCTAGAAAAAATATATTCTCTTCTTTAAGTCACATGGTATTAACTATTAGAGGAATGCCCATCTTAGCCTCGGAGGTTAGGCGTGATTCTTCCTGAATGTGTAGGTGGGGTGGAATGTGGAGAATCGTAGATCAAAAACTGACTTCTAACACTCAGCAGGCAGTCTGGACTTGCAGACTGAGAATCAAGGGACCGGGGTCTAGTCTAAATCTTACCATGTTTGAGAAACCTCATACCAATCACACAATATTTTCAGGCCAGAGTTACCTCCTTCCCTGGCCTTCTCTACCAGTTCACCCAAATAGGCTCCCTGGGGTCTGGCTCCAACCAGCTTTCAGGCATGTTAGGGGCACAAGTACATATATGCAGACGACTCTACAGCAGCGTAAGCTGGTATCACCCTTCAGCAGCTCGATGGTGGCAAACACTATGATTTTTGAACATAAAATGTATTAAATGAAATAAAGGGCTTACCTGAACTATTAAAGTGGTACTGATGTCCGTAATAATGCATACTGGAGGAAAAAATGCCTAAATGAAGGAAACAAACATTTTAATTATAGCCCTAAGGACTCCACCACCCCAGCTTTGAGGTCTGACTAATAGAAAACTGCATGTATTCAGGTTGTGTAACATGAATTCTTAAAAAGTATATCTCATGATGATTTGATGTACACACAACAATCAAGTTAATACACCTATTACCTTACATAGTTACCATATTGTGCGTGCGTAAACATAAGATCTACTCTCAGTAGATTTCAAGCATGCAAGACCATATCATTAACTGGAGTCACTATACTGTACATTAGATCCCCATATCCCTGGCCCCTGGAAACCACCGTATAATGCTGCTTTTCTCCAGGAGCCGTCAGACAACAGCATCATACACTTGGCTCTTTTCCACAGCTTCCTGTGTCACCTCAATTCTCAGGTCACTCTAGAACTTTCTCAGGCTTCCCCGGAAAAAAAAAAAAAAAGGCAGAGAGATTTCAGGCTATTTGTAAATAGCACTGAGTGTTTGTTCCAATTTTTCATGTCCAATTTTCTATTGGATTACTTTGAAAATGACACGATGTAAAAAGTAAGTCTCCACAGAAGGCAGGCAAGGTTTTAAGAAGGAAAGCTAAGAGTGTAAATGGTACAATTGTGGGGGAAATCTTCTTTAAAATCAAAATACTCCCCTAAATTCTGTAAAATGTCTGCAGAAGGCTTTACAAACCACTTCAACTTCAGACACAAATAGAAAATGAAAGAAAACATTAAACTCCAAGAATCATTTCTTTTCCTTTATTCGTACTGAGAGCATTTGGGCAACAAAGCTCATTACTAGATTTCCATAATTAAGTTGTATCAAAAATATAATGGAACTGGACATTTTCAATAAATGCAGTTCCCATTGCCTCCTCCAAGCACACACATTGAAAACACAGTAATAAGCAAATGTAGGAAAATGGGAATGTGTTTAGATGCAATACAGCCTATAAAAATCATCTGAAAGTGAACATAACCCACTAATAAAGACGGCAGCACAGTGCCTGGAAAGCTTTCTAATATCATGAATATTATATGGTTCTCAAGAATACCAGTCATCGGCACAAACTGTGAAAACAAATTATTTATGGTTCAAGGAAAGGTAAAATAGTCTCAGAAGATTTCCCATGAATAAAAGATGAAATATTGGAACTCATATGGTCTATAAAACAAGTGTTTGCAAAATAGTTTTCCTATAAGTCAAAGCCAGTATAGCATTTTAAATTAAGAGGGCTAAAAAATTCATATATTTCTAAATAAAATAAAGTATTTTCACTGAGCATCAATTTGACAGGGAAAAAAGCCAAACAAAACAAAACAACCAACAACAAGACTTTTAAAAGGAGACACGGTTCAAGCAATAGTAGACTTGCTCTGGCCATGCATGAATATTCATCTTGCCTGCCGAGAACCTAACGGTCCTTCTGACTTCTTTCAAATACTAGCCTTGCACTTCAGTACAGATTTGTTTTTCTTTTTTAACTCTGCCTTGCACATATATTAATTCATGGAATACTACAGAAGAATGCATTATTTTAAACCCACTTTAGTTCTCTGTATTTTCAAGAAAATCGCAATTTTCTATGAGTACCGTTACTGCTGAAGGTAAACATACTGCTATTTGTCTCTTAAGAAAGCTTCAGGTTTACAATTTGGGTTTGCCGCCTTTTCTTTGGAGCAGTGTGAGGAACTGCACCAGCTGTTTTGCCTCTTGGTTTAAAAAAAGAGTCTATTAGGGAATTCCTAAGCGGAACCACAGGGAAAGCGGGGGTTGCCTCGGTTTCCATTAAAATTAAGATGAACTTCCAGCCTGTTGTCAGGCCAAAGGTGTTTTGTTCTGTACCTGCACATTTTTTCATGATTTTCTTCAGAGGCCCGTGAGTGTACATTAGTCCAACAAGAATCCCAGCCAGATGCCCAGCAAAGGAAGTCCTAGGAGAGAAGGAGACCCTTTGTGAGTATTTGTTCTGCCTCTGAGTAGATACATTCTGTCTTCTCATTACTCTGGGGCATGTCAATTTGTCACAGTCTGCAAGCTTTGTTCCATATCACGTCCTTTATGCTGCACAACATTTAATGCTATCCAAAGAACATTTCCTACCTTAAAAAAAAAAGGTACAATGAGTAACAACCACCACGTGTTTAAGATGCAGTATCCTTCCTTGACCAAGAGAAGTGGGCTGGTTCCTTCCAGAGCAATGGAAGTGTTTGGTCAAGACAACCCATTCTGTTTCTTCCAGTTTTTCTCTGTGGCTCTTATCTCAAAACATAAATGAAACCAGTTTTCTCTGAATTACATCTTGACTTGTCCAGCCACTGTGAGGCCCACTAGCTATCCGTGTAGTAGAGCAGTAGAGCAGATTGCTGATTTTATTCACCGCTGACTGAGTGAGGCAAAGAGCAGGAGAAACCCAGCAGAGGAGAGAGACTAGAATGTCCACACCTGTCCCCCTGAAGTTGTCTTCGTAGGTACCTTTTGGTCACTCAGCAAAAAGAAACAAAACTGTAAACTTCTAGCTTGAAAGATGAGTTAGGGCATTAAATTGGCTCCATTCCTCTTAAAGTAGCATCTAAGCTTGGCAATTCAAGCTTATAAATTCAAGGCAAGCCCCAGCTAAATCTTTGTTGAATGAGTAAAAGAATAAATGAAAGAAATACCTTGCCGTCCCCCTGCCCCCACCTCTTGCTCTCAGTGCATCCCACACGGCCATCAGCTGTTCTAGAACAGTGCGGATGTCATGTCACCACCAACCGGGGACACTCAGTGACCCATGTGCTTACAGTTGTGGCCTCTGGGCACTCGGCCTTGCTCATCCCTCTCCTCCACCCTCCTGGCCCCCTAAGCCCATCTCCTCGGCCCACTGCCAGACTGTCATATGCTCACAGGTGACCACAAGGCTGGGCTGAATGGCAGGCACCCCTGTCACAAAGATCATGTCCCTCTTTCCTTCCACCTTCCCCCAGTCATTGCCTCTGCATCTCCCATAGCCTGTATTCAGCCTGCTGGGTCGTGACGCATTTACACGCTGGCATGTCTGTCTCTCTCTTACAAATTCCCTGAGGGCAGCAACGATGTCTTCTTACTCATCTGTTATGCTACATTAGGAGCTAAAAGCAAAAACAAAAAAGGTCAAGTGCATGAATACTTCCACAGCTTGGAGAAATGACCCTCACTCCAGAAGTGGGGGCAACCGAAAGTTATTAAGGAGCTGATGTAAGCTCCAGGAGTACAGAGAATTTTGTGGTTTTCACTCATATGTTGCATACTCCTTGGGCTGTGCCTGGCACGGGACAGACACTCGAATGTGAGTTAAATGAGTGATCCGAGTGTCCCAGGACCACAAGGCAAGCTAAACCCATTACATCTTCAACTCAGAGCACACACGGAGCCACGGCAGTGATGGAGCTCAGGGGCTGATGTTCGGTCCCCTACCCCCACTTGCCCCGCCAGGAGACCTAAAATCAGAGCCAACACACTTCCCCTCTCCCTGCAGCAAAGACCCTGGAGAAAAACAAGCAAGACAGCTACAAGTCATTCTCCCCGTCATGGAGCTAGCAAAAAGACCTGTTGGCTTCCAGGAAAAGAACACACAATGGAACACTTCAGAGAAAAGATGAGAGGCAGCCTTCTACGGACAGGAAGGCACTGCTGTTCATTCCATCAGCCAATTCAAACCCACCATTGCTCAAACAAGCTCTTGCAAATGTCCACACACATGGCAAGTGACAGCATGTGTGCTTGCATGCATATGCACATGCACACTTCATGCACACAGTCATTCCTTCAAGAGAGCTATTACTTTCATCACACAGATTTACCTCAAAGTATGTGTAACCTGATAATAAAAACATGGGATCAGATGCTTGGGGCTCCCATTTTTCAGGGAAGAATAGCATGAACTATGCTTTTCTTTCGCTTTTCCAAAAAATATAAAATTGTGCTTATTTTACTCTATTTTTAGGCTACATAAAACTCTTCAAATAGTGCTAGGAATGGCAAAGAAAGTGGTAGTTTGAGGGATACAAAGAAGAAGCCAGAATCAATTTTTTAAAAATAGTAACCTCAATTTAACTGAAAAGAACAAAACGGCATCAACATTTTTAAACTTTTTAAACCAATCTTTATGGTAAATCATATAGACATAAAATAACATGGGAGAAAATTTCAATTTAAAACCCCAACCTATTAAACAATCAGTCCTGAGCCTCATTTACAATTTAGAGTACAGTACAGTAAAATGAATTTCTTATCTAAATGAGTTTGCAGAAGTTTGAGTTAGAATCTAATTGTCCTAATATAACTGTGAATAACTAGGGATGGAAAGCTGGCTGGCCAGAGACCAGACTACATTATCACCCAACATTCCAAATTTTCACATAAGCCCCATCTCAAAACCCTAGCTGTCCTTATCCCTACATTTAAGCTCTATACGGGTGTTTTTCTTTTGAAATAAGAAGAGATTATGATCTGATCAACTCAAACTAAGAATTTCTCAACATGACACACAAAGAAAGGGAGATGCTGCCAATGAAGATGGAAATCCAGGCCCATTTTAAGAGGCATATCAACTTTCTCCATGCCTTTGGTAAGCATTTGACAAACCACCTCCTCGGCCCTATAAGAGACACCTGTGTCCTGAGAGAAGAAATGGAACTGGAGACTGTCTCCTTCCCAGCAGGACAGGGAGCCCCCATCCAGCGCTAGGGTGCTTCATCCCTGCCTGGAGGTGCTGCAGAGCCACAAGGAGGCCCCTGCCTGGGCTTTGGAGGAAGACCGTTAACAGCTTCAGAAGCAGATTGTGTTATTATGATCATCACTCTACACATAAAGCAAACGTTTTGATGTTTGTGCTGTCCGAGGAAGCCCATGGTTGAGTTATAACCTAATTGTGCAGTCCGGGACAGCCCACTGCTATCCTCCAAGCATGCGTGCTGCTGTTCAGAGTTAGACCCGCGGGCTGATCCCCATGCAGCAGGCTCTCAGGAACACGGCTTTCTCTGGACCTGACTGGGTCTTAGGCCGGGACTGAGGTTTTGGTGATGGCCTGCCACCCTCCATCCTAATTCGAAGTAATCCTCAGGGACAGCACCACCATATTCAACCCTATACCCATGACCTTACTTGTGTGGTAAACAGCCTGACACTAGCACTCAACAAGTAACTACCGAAGGAGTGGAGAAGTGGAATTAAAATTACATATAAAATGCACACTTCTAGAATACACTACAGTTGTATTATAAAAACACAAGTTATGCAAGGTCACCCATTAATAGTTGTTTTAGTATCAAATCTCATCAGGAGAGAGAGTGATTAAACACAACACCCTCCCCAACCCACATACCTAGACAATGTGTTACACCAAACATGCTCTCCATTAACAAAACAGTAGCACTAAACCTATGATTACATCCCAAAAGTGGTCACTTAGAAGCTTTATTTCTTCTGATAGCTCAATACTGACTCCCTTCAGAAATCCTAAGGCTATAATCAAACTTTTACTGTGACTGGTAAGACACATCACGGCCATGTACAGTCATATAGGTTGTGCACTGCATGGATGGACTACAGGGAGAAGAAATATCATTTGGGGTCTCAAGAGTGCTGCAAAGGTCCTATATTCAAATTCAGATCATCATTTCTCAACTTCGGGGCAGGTACCAATGTAATTTCATTTCAATAGGGGACAATATCTTGATCCAGTGGTTCTTAAGCTTGCTCAGGTTCTAAGCCCCTGTGTCTGATGAAAGCCACAGATCCTGTCTGCAGAAAAATTACACATGCACAAAATATGTCGCCTATAATTTTAAGATGTTCATGGATGGCTTGAATTCCAGACCCTTGCCTGAAGTGAAAATCATTCATCACAAACACAAGAATTCCAAACCGCAGTGCCAAGTCTAAGTACTTATACACTCAGTTGGGAAAACATCTTGTTTGTCCTCAAATCCTAAGACAGAGGCAGCCATTTTGTTTAGATGGTTATTAATGAGCCCAATCTCTCTGAGGCACCACTGCTCTGTAATAGTGTTACTTACTCCTGGATTCAATTTCCTTCCTGCAAAAGTCTGCCTGTTAGTCATTCTCCCAGTTCAAGTCTGAGGGTAAAAAATTCTGCCATTCTCTGTATGACTGAAAAGGTCTTTATTTCAGCCTCCTATTCGAATGATAAGCATAGGATCAACGGCTCCAGCTAAGAAATGTAAGCTGCACAGTCCTTCATCTGTCTTTTCTCTTGGCTTTTAAGATTTTCTATTTATTTTGGGTACACTGTCATTATGCCACAGTCACTCCAGTTGTATTTTATTTACCCTCCTTGAGATTCACCATGCTTTTTCCATCTGAGGTCTCATATTTTTCTACAACTCTGAAAAACCTTCAGCCATTATTTTCTGTTCTCTGGACCTCCAGAGATGTAGCACGGACACAGAATGGGGGCTCAATTCGTGTTTGTAGGGAAAGAAAAAAAATGGAAAGTTAAAATCAAATCAATGTTGGTACACATTACTTATAAGGGACAGGGATGGTAGAAAAGTAATTCTGAAGCAAAACTAAGATGAAGACATTATAGATATTATTGTGTGTTACATGTCAAATATATTTCAATAAGGCTGGAAAGAAGACGATTGTGGATTTTAGTTATGCAAACTATACGCAGATATTATTAACACTAGTACAGAGTGTTCTTTCCTATCATGCCGGCATAAACTGCTCCTCACTCCTTTCAGAGGCGACTTGGAAGGTTGAGCTAAGTGGTTATGCAAAATGTTCCTGCTCCCATGTGCCACTGTTAAAGAATCAAAAGCTAAAGCTTTGATTGAAAGCTGTGACAAGCTATAAAGGTCCTCCTCTCCTAAATGGCAAATTCTTTCCACAACTGAAGAAGCTGCCATCTCAGGCATAGCTCAAAAAGCAAAAATGTATGACTCTGAGA